ATAACAGATGGAAAGGTTTTAGAGTAAAATTAAGCAGATGAATAAATATCTAAGTATCTGTCCTAAAATACTAGGTTTTGTTGTTGTTGTTTTCGGTTGTGTTTTTTTTTTTTTTTTTTTTTCCCCCATCTTGCAGTGCTACTATCTGCAAGGGAAGTGAGTACAAAAGACACAAGCGATACATAGAGTGTAGACCTTTCAAGTGAGAAATATTACATAAATATAGTTTTATATGCTCACCACCAGAAGAGTGTAATTTGATGAGTTAACCAGAAAAAAAAAAGTATTTTGCAAGTAATTGCATTTTTCTGATTTTCTTCACTATAGGAAAATGCTTTTACATAAATTGATGCATAACCTGCAATCATACTTTTTATTTTTATTAAATGAGATTTTAAGTGCACTGAGACATGCATGACACCATGCACAATTTTCCCAAGGCTTCTTTAATCCCTTTGTGCCACTTATCTTTTTCCTGTGTAGAGAAAGAAAGGGGTATATTAAAAGATTTTTCCTTTCTGAATGCCTCCATCATCATGGTTAATAAGGGCAACCTTGCACGTATATATGAGGAGAAATTCAATTTTAAATTGCTGTAAGGTTCACCTTTGAATTTCACTGTGGTCAGAAGAATCCCATGACCTTTAAATTTGATGAAAAGAGGGAGCAGATATTAATCTCATTATTTTATTTTGAAGTCCTCCCAAAGTGGGTGACTCTAGACCACATTTCTGCAGAATGACAAGAGCAGTTCATCTAAATTGATCATTGTTACGGGAAGGACAATATCTGAAGATTTTAATATACCTTCAGTTTTTTATATCTCATTTTAATTCTCTCTGTAATAATTACTCTACTATTTCAGAGTTATTATTTTAGACAGTTTAAATATATGTCTTACAGTTATGCTACTAAATGTAATAACTTTCATTTTAAAGATTATAGTTTGTCCCCTTACAAAAGCCGAACTTATTTAGATATTCTAAAAGTGTTTATTGTGCCTCCTAGTAATATTTGTGCACTCTTGCTTTTATACAAAGTTGTTCCCCTATGCTACAGAAAATTATAATTGAAACAAAAAATATTGTAGGTATACAATAATTACACAAACTGCTCAGGGACAGGATAAATTAACTTACCATGTGTTTCATACAGTAACATTCAGATGAGAATTAGTTACAAAAAATAAATAAATAAGCACACTCCAGGTACTGTGTAGGGAACTTCTACCTAGCTTATATTATCTTTTGAGCAATCATGCTGGGCTTGTATATTATTATTCTCATCCTCACAATAAGACATTGAATGATATTTGGTATAAGAACAAAGTCTGTAAGAATATAATAATAATAATGTATCTCAGATATTTCTTGAAGTATGACTTGTGAATTACTTTTATCAGATTCACCTTGTTGAAATGAAGAATGCTGACCACAATCCCAAGTTACTTGAAGAACTCTCTGATATATGGGGCCCCAGAATCTGAATTTCAACATTTCTCATTTTTCATAATCATTATTCTAGTCTGGAACGTAAGGGAATAGCATAAGGGAATACCATAAAATATGCTGTAATTAAGAGCACTTATAGATACAACTATTATGGAAGTGGAAGAATAAGATTAAGGAAACAATTTAGCATTAAATAATGCTAGAAAAAAAGAGAAGTTAAATAATGTTAAATCATTACCCTTTACCATGCAGCTATTGACAGCAGGAAACTGCCAAGAGCAGTACCTTCATTTGATGATGTAAAGAAAGAAGGATAAATAATTATTTGAATAGTCAATAAGTATCTATTTATCTACCTACCTACCTGTCTATCTATCCATCCATTTTTTCCTGATCCAATAATACTTAAAATTCACAGAATTGTTTAAAATGTTAAATAATTTACAGTTGTATAGTGATCAGTACATAAGATAAAGCTGATTTTCATTGTCCTAAGACTAAGGGCAGTGGGAAACGTCTGCAATTTTAACATGAATGATACAGAGCTGTTTGCTAGGGTGAGGAAAACAAAAAAGATTGCCTAGCACAGGGCTAACTTGAAGATAATTGTCCCCGGATGAATAGCAGAGAATAGTGGATTGCAACAGTACATATTAAAGATGACCAGTGCATGGACTATGGATTTTGCTTGAGGAATAATAAAAAAGGGATAGATGCCAGAGAAATTATAGTCAGCATGGCTATGCAAATAATTCAGCAAGGAATTGGACAGGAGATTTTGATGATCTGCACATATTTTATTTCTTAAATGCTCTGCCATTAATGGCTTTGATCATTGTAGTCTACTTAAAGTATGAAGATTTATGGATTGCTGTAAAGATGGCAAAAATACTTGGTCTTAAATCAACCACTGGAAGAACTTGTGGAGCAGCAAATGCCTTAAGTTATAATTTTATAAGGTAGGCAACAAGAATAATGATTTCTATTTCATAACCCAAAAGAGATTTTTTAAGACTGAGACAAATGCAGAACAGTGGAACATATTTTATCTTTGGCCATAAAACATTATTTTATAAGGAGTATAAGGAGAATGGCAAAGTGATCATCAGCACATTAAGATGTATAACTGTTAAAATTAATTATTTCTCCAGTACAGTCTTTGAGTTTTTTTTCCAATATATAATAAGTAAAATATTCTGTAAAGATTATGAATTTAAATGGGCTCCCACAATTTAAAAGAGAAGAGGATTATGAACACTAGCAGGTGACTTCTTGTATCTATCATAAATACTGGACCCTAAGTCATGGATAAATTAGGAAATTATACCATAATATTAACAAACACCTGTCCTACTTAAATAATTCTAGAATTTGGAATAAGAATCACACTATCCTTATCCTCTTTATTTAAAAACCTCTTTCTGCTAATCTGGAGATCTCAAAATATAATTACTTTACAAATTATTAAAAATACGTGATGTTCATGTCAGAACCATAATATGATCAAGTAAATTTAATCTTCTAATTCTCAAGCAATTCCACTTTCTGACTTCAAAACTTTTCCAAAAGTGTACTAATGAGTCCCAGAAGTTCTTTTTTCAGTAACACAATAAAATATGCCTTGGGTCACTTATCTAAGATGAACCTGATTTAGTTTTTTTTTCTTTTAAATGAGGTAATGTATAAAGCAAATTTTGATATTTTAATCAATAATTCAAAGTAATTGCACACATGTAGACTTGTACACAACAGCTATTAATACATAATGAAATAACTAAGCAGTCAGCATTAGTTTTTCAGTGGAGCATATGAAATATTCTTGGGGGTAAATTAGAAAGATTTGACAGATGTAAAGCTACATAACACAAAAAGCATTTCACAATCATTAGAATTCACTCCAGGAACATGTTTGCAAAATGTTCCCAAATATATTATTTTGAACTATCTGTGGACTGTTTCAATGATTACAATATATGAAGAATTGGAACATTTTTCTAGATCATTCATCTGCAAATACCACAAATTAAAAAGAAAAAACAAACATAATGATTTTATTTGTTGTTCACTTTATTCTAATGATTTGAAAATATCCTTATCTCATTACCTAACTTTATTAATACAGAGTTGTAGACTTGGCCTTAAATGCATTTATCTGTGTTAATGATTTACTTATATTATGGTTTATAATAAACATGGTGTATACAAAATTATATAATTTGTAAATTTTTATGATGTGGCAACAAAAGTTGAGCTAATGTATGAGTGATGCCCTGAATCATAATATAAATAATCTTAATTTTCATTTAAATCATGTTCCATATTCATAGTTTTAAATTTATCATTATTAATTAAATAACTCTTATCTAATAGTATCCTTATTGCCAATTGTGTTCACGTCTATATATGCTTCTTTGAAACACTTTTATGTTTATTATTTGATTTTGTCAGTAATAATGATTTTATGAGAATATTTGCCCATGTTTTAGGACAGCCAATACTGATTTTATGACTATCACAAATAATTCATACAGCATCATAGAAGTTTAGTTCAGGAAGCACCCTCAGATATCAAAATTGGCTATGTCAGAATTGGCAGAGACACTGAAATTGCAGTTATCTACTTTGGCCCACCATGCCCAGAGAGTTACACTTGGAATGACTCTGGAAGCTGTTTTTTTTATTGTGTACAGCTATTCTTGATATGGTGGTACTTGACAGTCATTTTAACTAAGAACTGAAGCCAATTAAATTGTTTCTCTGTGAATTTCCTGTGATAGATACACAAAGGCATCTTATGTTAGCCAATAGACATTGTTTAAACACAACTAAAACTGTTCCAGCATTTATTTTGATGCAACTAGCTAATTTCATAGTTGTGATTTATGTTTAAATAGTGGCTTTTAATCAGATCTATTATTCTTGTCTTCTATTTCTTATCATAGTGTCACAGTACTTACATGGGAAAAACAACTCCTCCCAATAAAAACTTGGGCACATTCTCGACTTCATGTTAATAGAAGAATGATTTAAAATGGGAAAGCCCTGTATTTTGTTATCTCTACTCAGGAGAGTAAAAACTCCACAGCTTGAACTATGAGACAGATAACTATTTGCTCTTTGGTAGTTAGTTCCACTCTGTACTTAGAACAACCAGAAAAACAAGTCACAGATACTTATAGAAGGATTTGCTTAACATGCAAACTCAATTTTTGTAAGTGGCCACTTGTAATTTTCCGTAACTCTCGAATTAATTTCCAATTCTTAATCAAGATTTCAATATTACTATAAAATGTGCCAATTTTAACACAGAAAAAGTAAAATGTCTATAAATCTATATTTTAAAAAGTATTTTAACAAATGAAGTCCAATGAAAGTTACACTCAGCGTACTAACAATATGCAAGAAATCAGCAGAAATCTCTATGTAATATTCATGAATTTGTGCTGACTGGCTCCTGTAACATTTCATTTTGTTAAAATTACTACATTAGCAGACTGCTGGGCTTTGTTATTCACTGATCTGTGTTGTTTGTTGTTTGGATATTTTTAGATGCTCTACCAACTGGTCAGGCACACAGTGTGAAAGGCCAGCCCCAAAGAGCAGCAAGTCTGATCACATCAGCACAAGTAAGTTTCTCAGATTAATATTTTGGGTAATATACACTGTATATAAATCATTTTAATCTCATTATTGAGTGAGGTGAGTCTTATGAAATCTTCATGGACTTTTGTAAGAGATTCACTGCAATTGAGGTGTTTTTTAAAGGGAAAGCACAGAGCTCTCGTCTAATTACAGGCTCGTGTTCGTGTTCTTCTAGGCTGGGAGAGTTTATCCCAAATTTGGGGAGTTTTCAGAATGCACATCTCCTAACCTAGCATAAGCTTTTCTTTGGAAATGTTCATCAGCTGCAAAAGTCGCAGATACCACAGTGGAAGTGAAAATACTCCAGGAAGAAAACTAATTCCATGTTTTAATTAGAGCAAAGTGTATTGTCTTGGAATGCATTTCAATGTGCCATGGGGGGAAAAAGACAGACTTTATTAGTTAGTCTGAAAGAGAAGCAAGTTAACAAGCAATTCTTAATGAAGATCTACATTGATTTATTGCTTCTTTATCTTTAAAGTATTGGTTTTGAAGTATATTAAAATATAGATCACCATTTTTGCAAATTTTTTTGTGCGGCCATAGTCTTAGGGTCAGGTGTGTCTATGTCATCATTGTGTGTCTGTGTACAGTTTCTGACAACCTGAAATGTTATAAAGTTTTTCAAAATAACAGTCTGAAATAAAGTTTGCAATTCACACATGTTGTCATTAATTTTACCATTAGTGAAAAACCTTTGAAACAATTGTATTGTCTATTGGGTGTAAATAAATTTGTGAAGGAAAAATAATATCCTTGATGGAAGATTGCTTACCTTAGCAATTTTTCCCTAGTCCTTTACTGCTGGTGAGAAGGATTTCATAAAAACAAGCAAAAAGCGTACTGTTTCAGAGTTAGTGAAAAAGGAAAGAGACTATTAAAGTATAAAATATATTATTTTTGTACCCTGGAAGCAGGCTTCCCATCTTTGCTGATGTTCCCGTTTGTTGTCTCTGTCCCCAGACAGTTTTGATATCATTGTCCAATTTTTCCCAATTTAGAAGTTAATTTGGGTTTATTAAGCCTGGGCATCTTTGAAAAATGGAAAATAGGTCTAGAATAAACAGTCTTGGCATGAATATTTAAATTTGGATAGGTGAGGTGAGGTGATTTTTGGTTATGGAGCATTTTGAGTTGATCTTAGAATTTGTGTGCTCTCTTTAGGTCAAGGGAGGGAGAGGTCATAGGGAAGCTATGAGCATATAATTGTAGGAACAGGACACTGGGAATTGGGGTATTGGTTGATAAAAGGTTAGCAGTGGCAAAATGTGTCTTGCCTAATTTGATATGCAAAAGAAAAGAAAAAATACTTTATATCTCTTCCCAGGATTTAGGGCTCAAACTATCATTACCAGTAATAACTCCGGAGGCATACTAATTTATATATGGTTTTCATAAACTATTTGCAAAACTCAGCAATCACTGAGAGCATTAATGATAGAAATGCATTTGAAGTTATCAACCTGTAGAACATGCTTCCTTTATAAATTAGGAATTGAAAAGATGCTTTAGCCTTTTTAACGGTAGTTTCTCGATGATCAAATATAAAAAAAAAATACATAGCCTTTTTAGAGCATCAAAAAAAATTTTTTTAAATTGTAAAACTCTGACAAGAAATAGCATGGAATGTGTATTGAATTTGGAAATTTTGTATAAGCGCCATCCACAAAGGGAAAGTTTGGTATTTGGAAAATGGATTGGAGCTGGAATGCTCCAGGCATTCCTGTTAGAGAGTGGGGTCTCCAACGATCTGCATGGGCAAATGTAAGAAACTGGTTTTAATTACATGCAACAGTTCTAAAGTAAAGAACATCAAATAGGGGAAAGAGTTGCAAATAGTTGTAACCCTTTCCAAAGATTCTGAAGCTCTTTCTCCCATCACTAATTTAAAGTCATGAAATTTAATAGAACTATCATGCATTTTGAAAGGGCTATTAGCTACATATATGTCAAATTATCACAGACTTTAGCAAAGTTGACCAAATAATGACTCTATTAGATGCTTATCATCAGACATTTATGCTTAGAGAAACTTGACTCAGCAGCTCTGAAAGAAGGGAAAAGGTAGTTAAACTGACCTTTCCCATGAAAGAGGATTACTTTTATTCTTTTGGGTAAAATCTAGTGATTTTGAATGGTTGTCAAACCTTCTGCAAACTTGAGCAGAAGTCATCTACCCAATAAGAAAGATGAAACTTTAGGAATGTGTTTTCAAATCTGCATTTCCATCATCAGTGGACCTTCATTGGCATAGTCCAGAATACACTGCCTGTGTCTGCCTCATTACTATCAATTTATGCAGAGATTTACTTTTCTGATTTGTACATGGTCTTCATAATCATCTCTGAATAGTGGTAGTGATGTTCACTGGCTTCTGATGTTTAAAGTATCTAAAAAGCAGTTTGTGGAATTAGGCAGATCTATTATCTAGGGCTTTGTGCTCAGGTTCCATTTTAAAAATCTAATCTGGCTCTTCTGAAGATATTTGGAAGAGTTTTAAACTCAGGATGATAACATATTCATTGCATACTTCTATTTTAAATTTACAAAAAATTTTAAAATTTACATAAAATTGAGCATTGAATGATCAGTGTTGGAATCGTGTTATTTGTTGTATCTGCTGAAATTATGAAAGATAAAAATATATCCAGCATTTGTGGTACAGTAGAGTTGCTGTATTTTACTATAGTGACAATAGGGGCAAGATATCTGTTGGGGGTCATTGTATCTCTTTTTCTACTTTGTCTTTATCATTTTATATCATCCATTATATTTTAATTTAAAAAAACTGGTTATATTATACCAGGAATTATAAATTTGCAAATATAGAGATATAGCTGAAAAACGCAACAAAATAATGTTTTCTTTTCATTTCTCCCAAAGCAAAGGTTTATCAAGTCTCTGCTAAGTGTCAAATACTGCACTAGATTCCAGAGACAGGTCCGTGAGGAAGGCAGACAGTGCCTCTTCTCACGAAGCTGAGGTTCTAATGGAGTAAACAGCAATAAAACAAGGAAGCAAATAAAAAAGGAAATATTCAAATTTAAAAAGTAATTGTGAGTTTTGATTGGCCCGTGAAGGAAACAAAAACAAACAAACAAAAAAGATAAAAAGGGCAAAGATAGAGACTGTCACGGGAACAGTGGGGTCAGGAGTGCTTTCTCTGAGGTGGTGATACTTCAGCTGAGACTTGAGGCTCAAGGTACAAGAATAAAGAACAGCAGATACAGCCGGGCGTGGTGGCTCACGCCTATAATCCGGGCACTTTGGGAGACCGAGGCGGGCGGATCACAAGGTCAGGAGATCGAGACCATCCTGGCTAACACGGTGAAACCCCGTCTCTACTAAAAACACAACAAAAATTAGCCGGGCGTGGTGGCGGGCGCGTGTAGTCCCAGCTGCTCGGGAGGCTGAGGCAGGAGAATGGTGTGAATCCAGGAGGCGGAGCTTGCAGTGAGCCGAGATCCCGCCACTGTACTCCAGCCTGGTGCCTGGTAAGAAAGCATGACTCCGTCTCAAAAAAAAAAAAAAAAAAAAAAAAAAAAGACAGTAGGTACAACAACCCTGGAGCAAGAAAGAGTTAGACATGTCCAGCAGACTGAAAGAAGACCAGTGTGCTGGTATCAAGAGGACAAGAGTGGTACAAAGTGAAGCTAGAGATACAGGACCAAGATGATAGGCAGCCTCTTGAAGATCACTGGAAGGATCACCTTTACTAAGTTGGGAACGTATTTTCTTTACAATTTTTAACATTACAATATACCAAAATGCTTAAGAGAAAGCATGCTAATTTCAACAAATATATATACTCCACACTTATACATATCTATAAACATAAACTTAAGAACATGTCAAAGGAAGTCATTGTAATTATGTAATTTACGCTAATACTGTTCTATTGTAAATTTGATCAGTAAGTAAAATGTTCTCTCCCTCTGACCTTCATGATACTGAACACTTCTGGTTTCTCTTCTACCTCTTTTGAAGCAACTCTTTCTTTGTGACATTATTTTCTTTCTATTCTGCTTGGTTAATTTACCTGTTTATCACTAGATACTCTCCCCTTGTCCTGGATACACTTTCCTTGCCAAGACATAAATCTTTGACATGAGTTATCAACTCTGTTGATTCCCCAAAATTCCTGTGCTCGATATTTATTTATCTCCTAAGTCTGAGACATATATTTCACTGCTTGCTTGATATATCTGTATCTGTATCGTCTATATTCCACAGTGATCTCAAGCTCAGTTCCCAAATGATCTCATCACCACCCCCTAACCACAGTCATTTTCATATACCTTATTTTGCCTCTCTGTCCATATGGATGGCTGAAAGGTGGTGATACTTTAGCTGAGACTTGAGCCAATCCACCTGGCTATGGAAACAACACTTAAGTTCCATACTTAACCTTCTCTTTGCTTTCCTAAGTTGAATCAAACAATAAATTCAGTAGATGTTCCTTCCTAAATTTTATTCAACATCATCTTTTTAAAAAGAAAAAATAGTACAATTGCCCGTCTGATTTATATGACTTACACACTCCTTCACAATCTCACCTCTGCTTTCCAGTGTAGTCACATCTCCTTCCAGCACACTCCTCCCACCTCAACTGTTTTTCCTTAATCGTAATCCTCTTGTCCTTTAAAGTCTCTTCATGAACTACAGAGGACTTGCTCCTTAAGCCTCAGAGACACTCTAGTCCTCCTCCAGCCCAGATCTAGTTGGAGGCACCTCCTTTGTATTCTCAGAACAGTGCATACTTCCCTAATACAGCATTCATGCTACTATAATGAATGAACTCATTTGTTTGTCATCTTCTGTTATACATCAAGCAACGTAAGAGAATGGTCATTTTATCCTCAGTATGGAATAGAGTATACGTTGAGGGTCTGGAGCACAGCAAGAACTTAAGATACATTTGCTAAATAAGAATGGAATTTATAGACCCTATGATATCCTAAGGACTGCACTATTTGCAGAACAAAGAGAAACAGATTGTGCCCTCAAATATCTCAAAAACAAACTGATACAATATATTGTGAGAAGTGCAGAATAGAAGCATGTACAGAGTGCTATAAGAACATGTGTTTTGATTGTTTATTAAGCATGTATGTAGCATTTTCTATGATTGGCATAATCCTATCTATAATACTGTATGATAGCTATTAATGGTGATACCCATATTATAGATGAGTAAACTGAGACAGATATAATTAATGTGCCTAAGTATATCTTGGTAATGAATAGTAGAAGTGAGGTTTGAATAGAGGTATCCTGGCTCCAGAGTCCATTATCTCAACTGCTGTGCTGTACTAGCTGTCCTATGGAAAGGGGCTCTTCAGCACAGCACTTACAGTTCTTTCTTCTAATGGAAAAATGTTGCATGATGAGGTTTCAGAACTGTGTTGCAACAAAGACTTGCTCTACTTTTTAATGAGAAACTTGTTGAGATATCCCCTCCACCCTTAATAAGTACAGAGTTTACATTTTTCAACCAGTTTCTAATACTCCATTAACAATGTACTGTTAAAAAATCACCTACAATAGGGATTGGTCATTGTATTTACAGTATGAAATTTACTGTCATATATACTAGGAAAAATACTTATTTTTATAATATCTTTATATAATTTTAAAAATACCTGTGATTTCCAGCAATAAAAACTATTTTATAAAATTTAAAAAAACTTGCCAAGCTTCTACCCTGCATTATTTATCGGTGACACTAGTGTGTTATAGTGGTTACTTTGATTGGTTACATAAACATATTAGAAGTCTAGGCTCTTAAACACAAAATGCAATAATATATGAGATTGCATCTGCCATCTGTGAAGGGAAAAAAAAGAAACCCTTTATTTTCTAGCATACTTAATTAACAGCTTTCTACCTCACAGGAATGTCAAACTGTAGAACAAGTAAAATATATTTTTAGAAAATGACTTATAATTGCATTGAGAGAAAATAAATTTTATATACCCTAAAACTATATTGATAGGTATTTTACACCACCAATTTTACACAAATTTTAGAGGAAAATGAAGTAGATAAATTTATAAAGTGATGATCAATCAGTTGAAGACATAGTTTATGAAGAAACCAAGCTGTTCTCTGGTATTTAAAACTTGTGAACAAATGTTAATTATCATCCAAGGTGCCAGATTCTCTACTGTCATTAATTGCTAATAAATTACAGATGCATATAAAGTTCACTTTCCCAAAACAAAGGAGGTAATATAGTAATATCAAACACAGTAAGTTCTCATAACTACGTGAGAAAACAAAATGACTTTTACATTTTAGAAAGTCTCTAAAGAAGTGGATAGAAGAGATGGTTATTTAGTTATTTCACACAAGTTATTTCTCCAAGTCCTAAATTAGATATTTATCTTATACATGAAATTTTCTTAATGAAACCTTTTTGGCATTTGGCAAGTGATCCAGTATGGATTATCTCAACCAGGTATCGTCTGGCTATAAAACAGGTCTATATATTTATAGTACAGTTCTAAGTGGCTGGTTATTGTGCATAATATCACCATTAATTTCTACCTTGATATTTTCACATGCACATGTATCTGCAGAAAAAATTCATATACTTTAAGACTTTTTAATGTTCTGTTCTTAATCCATTCAAGATCTCCATGTTAAATTTTAACTAGTTGTTGGGCTGCTTGGTTTCTTAGGTTAACCGGTGATTAAGTTGACTTGACTGTATCAACCCATGATTTATTCAAAGTAAACAAAAGCCTTTGTTTCATGTGTACTAGATATTTTTCAGTAAGAAAAGTTAACATTAGCTACGTCATACTTTCCTGTTATCAGGCAACCCTGTATTCAGTTTTCTTCCTACAATAAGTGACATTCGGGTATATTCTCCTGTGGGTCACATTATTAGCAATGGGCTATTATTGACTGCCTACTCACTGACTAAAAAAACAATTACCCTATTGCTAATCTATTATAAAATTGGAAAATAAAATCTCCTCCACTTTGCCTCCTCCCTGTGCTCAGATGCATAAATACAAAGACCAAATTTCACTGATCACTTTTGAAGATATATTCTGTTAGTGCTAGTACCCAAGACCTTTCTCATATATGGAAGAAAGGAAAATAATTGACATTTGCCACATAAGCCAAACTCCCAACATATGTCTTGCTAAAACTGGATACCCCTTTTGTTTTACCAGGCTGCCACCTAACTTGTCACATGGACCCCTGACCAGAAAGTATGGATAACTAAAGGAACAAAACTAAGGGTGGGAATGTGGTCAGTGAAACTGTGTAAATGTTTATTCAGTCTTAGTTGACTTAAAAAGAGGTACTAGCATGTACTTTAATCATTGCAAGTAAATGTGTGATGGGAATTACTAAACACAGACTGATAGAAAACATCAGATCTGTAATCTCAAGGTATTTAAATGCAACACAAAAATGAAAGATATCTAAAAAAACATTTCCATCAGAGCACGTGTTTAAGAGGAGAGTAATTTTCCAATAACATAATTATGAGCCTGAAATATAAACATTTGGGCTAAGCTTTATTTTTATTATGTCAATGGTCAAGTGATTTGGTGTAATAAAGTATTTAGTTGTATCAATTTTTACTTCATTTTATTTATTTCTTCATCTATTCACTCATTTATTTTCCAGGAAGCATTGCCATCATTGTGCCTCTCGTCCTCTTGGTGACTTTGATAACCACCTTAGTAATTGGTTTAGTGCTTTGTAAAAGAAAAAGAAGGTAAGATGCAATATTGTAGATTAGCAGTCAGTGAATAAATCACACAACTAGGTGCAGAAACATAATGGTTTTTTTTTTCATTTTTTAAAATATGATTTAGTTATGCCAACTATAAAATCCAATGTTTTTCAAATCATTTTATACCTCTCTTTTAAGTGATTATAATGTAGACAATTCTTCTCCCATATTATGTTAATGGAATGGTCCATTTATATATTCTAGCAAAAATAACAAGAGATCATATTATTCAAAAGTTAAGTAGAATTTTACATTTGCAGTTGTCTTTCCTTGAAACAGCAAGGGTCTCTGAGGAGCATATTTTTATATTAATGTGTATGATTAGTAATGTCAATACAGTGATACTGATATGCATATGTACATCTCCAATTTGTGCATTTCATTCACAAATAGTGAATTGATTTAGATATATCTCTTTAGAAGTACCATTTCAATTTATATGAAAATGAACTTATAGATCTAGAGGAGTAGGTTGTCTACAGAGAGACGAGAGCCATGTGTGCTCACTTATAAATGAACATGAAATAATGTGTACACATGGACACAGAGTGTAGGGTGATAGCTATTAGAGATTTAGAAGGGTGGGGAATGAAGTGAGGTAGATGATGAGAAATTACCTAATGGGTACAGTGTACATTATTTGGATGATGGACATACTAAAAGCCCAGGCTTCAACACTATGCAATATAACCATGTAACAAACTTGCACTTGTACAAAATAAGCTTAAAAATCAAGAGCTTTTGAGTCATTATTTGAATTATGTAAATCAGGATTCTAACCTTGTAACTTGGAGATTGAAAACAATCTACGAGTTTCTTTTGTTGCAATAGTTTTCAGATAGGAGAAAAAATAGAATTTAAAAAGATAATTGATAGATAAATATTCAATTTCAAATGATGTGGTTTTAGCTATTCAGGAGGTATTTATTTCCAGTGTGTTTTTATTAAGTCAAACAACTGGGAAAATGGCCTATCAAAGTACTACTTTTTGTTCCTCTGTTACCCGAAAAATGTCATTTATTCAATTTATTTCAAAATAAGTAAATTTGTAAATATGATAATTTCATATACCTTGTGGTATTTATACAAAACTCACACATATTAATGTTCACATATTCTAGGACAAAAACAATTAGAAGACAACCTATTATCAATGGAGGAATAAATGTAGAAATTGGCAATCCATCTTATAACATGTATGAGGTAGACCATGATCACAGCGATGGAGGTCTTTTAGATCCTGGCTTTATGATAGACCCAACAAAGGTAATATGTCTTAAGATAATGGGTAGTGAGCACTGACATTCTTGAGTTGCATCTCTGTTTTATGGTTCTGAATTTCACCAAGTTTTTCTGTTATCTGAAGTTAGAATAAGAGACTTTAGGATGTATTGAATGATATAGCCTCTTCTAAAGAGAAAGTACAATTATAGACTGCATTCATCTGAAGCTGCAAGTTAGTGTAATACATCTTGGGAAATATAATTATGTGCTCAGTTCATTTATAAAGATGTTATTTATTTTATATGGTTTTTATTGAAAAATGACTCATTATCTGTTTACCTAAGCAAATGAAAAATTCATTTAAAAATTGTTTTAGTATTATTATCACACAGCAAATTGTTAAAGTCTTCTTCAAGGGGTGGATAGATATATAGATAGATAAAGGTCTATTATAAAGTAAAGCTACTGACTTTCAAGGTTGAAATATATGCAAGGAGAAGACCAACATATGCACAGCCTCTAGCGATATGACTGAAAAGTAGTTTGGTGGGATATTTCTACCCAGTTCCTCCCAGTATTCCTTACAGTGTGGTTCTATGGGTTTTTGGTTTGGTAGGAACTGGATACTAACAAGGTAGTTCCGTTTTCATCACTTCAGACATGGCATGTTCTTTTAAAATTTATTTTTTGTTTTAATTGATGCATAATAAGTAGGAAATCAGTACATTGAAGAGATATCTGTACTTCCATGTTTTTTTTACAGCATTACTCACAATAGCCAAGATATAGAATCAACCTAAGTGTGCATCAACAGTGAATAAAGAAAATTGTATTCAGCCATAAAAAAGAAAGAAGTCCTGTCATTTGAGGCAACTGGATGAAGCTGGAAAATATTGTTACATATGAAATAAGCCAGGCACAGAATGACAAATACCACATGATCTCACTCACATGTGGAATCTATAGAAGTTAATATTGAAGTAGAGAGTGGAATATAGGTTACTAGAGGATGGAGAGGGGAGGAGGAAGTAAGATAGATGTTGGTCAATGGGTACAAAGTCACAGTCAGATAGGAGGAATGAGTTTTGATGTTCTATTGCACAGTTAGGTGACGGTGGTTGACAATATTGTATTGTATATTTCAAAATAGCTAGAAAAGAGGATTTTTAATGTTCTCACCACAAAAAATCATAACTATATATGAGGTGACAGATACGCTAAATGCTCTGACTTTATTTTTCTGCAATGTATACATGTATAAAAACATAACACAGTATCTCATAAATATGTATAATTTATGTAAAATAATTATCTGATCAAATGTGTTGAGGTATTAGCAAATCTAGATATACAGCTTAGTGTAAAAATATTGGTCGGTGTATTTTTAAATATAAAAGAGTACAGTATTTTATTGTCAAAATAAGTATGTTATTTCCAATAATGTTTAAATGAGGAGCCAGATAAGCTGTGTCCCTGGACTTCTTTGTAATTAAATTACTTTTGAGAAACATTTTTCTGTCATAATATCCTTACTAGTTTAAAACATTTCATTGATACATATAGCTTGACAATCCACAGCCTTTTAAATTTAAAAATTTGTTAGTTTTTATTACTATAAGCTCAGATTGGCAACTTTTAAGAGAAATAGCTAAATGATACAATTATCCAGTTAAACTTGTGAAGACTTACTTCACTGAATTACCTGAATATTCTTTCTGATAATTTTGGAACATTTTTCTCTAAATTAAGAGTATCAATTTACTATTATGAAACAATTTTTCTTGGCTTATTCGCTTATTTATTGAATAGTTATTTTACTGACTTATAAAAGTTACTTCATCAAAATGCACTTTTACATTGTAAATATTCAATGTGGCCAATCTACATTGAAATTATTTTGCAATCACAGTCACAGGTGCTCCTGAAGGAGTTGAATAGGATCCCACATATTCAATCTAGTTCTGAATCCATGATTAGACTTTCTAAGCCTGAAATTGATGCTCAAATATTCACCTCTATGAAAATCAATCAATCTTTTCACATGGATACATTGTATACTGTTGGACAGTACTATAATATTTTTCTAATTAGACATAATTTTATAGTTATTATTTATTAATTAATTCACTGCTACATCTGAAATTTTTCAAGGAAAAAATCCTGGTATCCTTGCATTTGATATTTTCTACTTTAAAATATCACAGAAGTAGAGACACAATACATATTGTTCACTGTGTGTCTGTTATATCTATGAAGGAGAAAGACATCTTAAATAATAGAGTTCTGAAATTCTTTGCATTTTTCTTAAGAATAAAAATATAGTATTCGTACATATAATATAGACTAATGAGGATATACTTTATGCATATTTCATATGAAGAGTTCTTACATTTTCCTCATCACTTTTATTTCTAGTGATAGAATTAATCCAATTTTGTACACTTAAAGACAATAGCTTTTTATACCACATTTTAAAAATTTTCACATTTACTCTAGGAAGATAAACCTATGCTTCAGTGTCACCCAAATATATTTTAATGTACTTAGAGCATAATACTCAATAAATATTTACCAATTTCATGACTGACTAACCAAAATTTCATCAAATATGACTTAGATGACTGAGTCTAGCTGGATCCTGATATTTGAATGTAAATGTGAATTGTTGTCAAATGAGTAACTACAGCTAGTTCTAATAGGTTTAGACAGTAGTGAAAAACAAAGGGTCACATTGAAGCAACCTTAATAATCATACGAATCTTACAGAATATTCACTCTGTTACAAGGGTTTGATATATGCATGGTCTAATCAGTATAAATTACATTACATATGAAAAAAATTTTGTAGAACACTCATTTCTGTTATTTTCAAAGAGGGTAAAATTTCTAGTTCAATGGTATCTTATAATCAAAAGGATTGAAAGTACTTAACACAGTTCATAAAATAAATTTGACTATGGGAGCAACCACAGAATAGTTTGAAGACTGTAAAAGAGATAAATTAATATGTACTAGTTTTATCTTCAAATTCATGCCAATTCTTACTTGGACTGTTTTTTATATTTTCTGAATAAGACTTTTGTGAGAGAAATGTCCCTACCTGTGAAGCAAAGATCCAATACTAATATTGAATCCAATATTAATATTGGATCTTTTAAGTTGTTTTGAGTTGTTAAAGCTAGCATGAATACATTGTAAATGACTTAAGGCTAAAGAGTTTTATGTTATTTTTATGAATTAACATGATATGTATCAATGAAAAGTGGTTCCATAATATTAGATCAGAAACTAAAGTTCTCTGTTTATATACAGGCCAGATACATAGCGGGAGGACCCAGTGCTTTCAAGCTTCCACACACAGCGCCGCCCATCTACCTAAACTCTGATTTGAAAGGACCACTAACTGCTGGGGTGAGAGAAGAATATTCATTATTTCATGTCCATTTCATCACAGAACCCTCGCAATCAAACATTGATTACTAGACTTAGAGGCTTGTTTTTAATTAGATTTTTAATTAACAAGAGATTTCAAAATAGCATTTAGATTGGGGGCTTATGTTACGTATTCTGTCTATACTAGATTACATCCGAAACATTATTATTCTAGGCAAGCCATTAAGTAGAAATCTCCCTTCTACTGGATTTGGAAATGTTATAGCCCCTTAATAATGAACATGATTATTTGTTATTCTTAGAAAAGAAGCTCTAGCCAGAAATTTAAACTTAATAATTTAAACTTTTGATTTTATTCATTTCCTTTCATAGTGGTTTATTTAATATATACAAATTTGATGTGCAGTTAAATAGATTGTACTTTAAAATGTGTCATCATATTGAGAAATTACAGAGGGTCTAACAAAACCATTCTCAAAAACATGTTTCAATTAAGTAACTGGTGTTTAGAAAAAGCTGTTCCGTCTAAAATTACTTAGTTCATTTTAAGCAGAAGAGGAGAAAATATGCATATCAAGATTCCTCGGGATGAGAATTCTGTCCCTTATCCTCTTTCCCATTAGCTGTTTTCATCCTCATTCTCTATCATGTTTGTCTCAATTACATGGCTCAAAGATTATGTTTCCTTGTTGTAACTAAGATTTAATGTACTGTTTTTGGAAAGACAAAACAGAACAAAAAATAACAAAAACAAACAAACACTAGGAAAAACTTCCTTGGGATAAGCTGCAATTTGTTAAATAATGAACATTGTATGTATGTTTTCCAACTCAAAGAGGTCAACTACTGCATGCCTCTATTCTACTTCAAAATGCTGTAAGTGTTTATGAAACTTAAGATGACTGTGTACATCACAATTCTTTGAAAAAGTCCAAAAATATTTCTAATAAGTACACAGAGGTTGTTTGAGGCAAAAAATCTTGCTTTTATTTTAAATCTGCTATACTAACACCTTTCTTTACATTTTTGTTTACTTGTTTTTAAGTTCACACTGAAATATTATAAGCACCAAACAAATGCTTTTCTGAAAACACATGTTATTTGCTGCTGATTGGCTTGTAATAGCAATAAGGGGACAACACAAAAACTGAAAACATGACAATTTAGTTTCACATTTTATGCTTTTATAATAAAGTCTCAGTGAACATAGCTTTCACAAAGACTTTTTCTGGGTTTTTATGTATGGCAAAGCTCCTTTTAGGTTTACAAGTTACTTGCAAAATGTAAAATTATAGTTTATGTAATACCTTGTTTGAGTTGACTACAGTCTGTAAGCATAACATATAAATAACCTTTAAATAATTACTATTTAATAAATTAAATGTATTGCATATAAATAGTGCTACGATTAGGAGACGGACATTCTAGGAAGTAAATAATTATGTGGCCAAGGCCAATAATAAAATTATATTTTTTTTTCTCCTTCAGCCAACAAATTACTCCAATCCAGTATATGCAAAATTATATATGGATGGGCAAAACTGTCGAAACTCCTTAGGAAGTGTTGATGAAAGAAAAGAACTGCTTCCAAAGAAAATAGAAATTGGTATAAGAGAGACAGTGGCATAATCAGTGATACCTTTTATATGCTGTATAAATGTATAAAATATAAGGATTACTTTTGTATGTTCCAATAGTTATTATACTTGTTTTGGCATCAGCATTACCTCTTTCTTTATCTTTTTCCTGGTTAATTGTTTTCTGAGTTTTTGGGTTTATGTTTTGCTGATGACTATTGATTGACCATTTGTATGGTATTTTTATGAAAAAGAACTGCACTACAGTACAATTTACAACAATGCTGCTGATATGACACACCTTTGAATTTGTCAAAATTAAAAACAACATATTCCTTTGTAGTGTGAATATAAGCAATCTATTTTATATGAACTTTTTTGGTTGTACTTAATCAAAGAGAATCTCTGCACTTTTCCATTATATGGTTTGAAAGCTGTAATACAGTGTCATTTTATTTTTCTCTTTAAATTGATTGATGGGAAAATGATTGAATGATCAACTCTCTTCTTTGTGCCCATAAAGATTGATTCAGACTCTGCTGAAAATATATAGCTCTCACAAGTTCAACATCACCTGCTTTGAAATTAGCCTTAGATTGCCAACCAATAGATGAGAATTTTGAGGAAAAAATTTAAAAATATGTAAAATTAATAATTTGCATGAGCACAGATGACTCCATTTTCCAAAACTTAGTGGACTCTATCTGATGTACTAAATGTATACACCTTGTAAGCAATAGTTATATTTAGGTGGTAGAACATAGCAAAAATATAACTGAAAGTTGGCAGATGCACTTGCTACTGAATAAGACCTTTTGTTCTCCCTCAGTCTTGAGATTGATAGCCACCCTAGAGCACAACAGGGCATTGGGTACTTGTGTCTTAGGTATTTCTTCCCAGTCACATGCATTTTGTGGAAGATTAACCCAAGCCCTTACTACACTAAACAGTAAAGAATAATACATAAGCACACAAATTGATGACAGAATTTCAATTATGTGAATGCATCCTCTTTGCTAGGTCAAAATCAAAGGGCAAAGCAGACATTTTAGTACACATAGTGATTGGTAAATATTTTCAAGATATAATATGAGTAATCCATTATTCGCTCTATCCAAAATATATTCAAGAGGCTTCCAAGTTGTAGAAGAACAATGATCTGCTCATAATCGAAGGTGGAGAGTCTAAATGCTGTACCAGTTGCTCTGGTATTCATGTTTCCTTGGGTTTTACAGAACACATGGACCCCATTCACATTTGGTTTGTTTATCTTCAAATTTGAGTTGAAACAAGTGTGATTTATTTAAGTTGTATTAAAAAAAAGGATAGCATTTTTATACAAATATCTTTAAAGGCACAAAAGATTTATTCACAAGTTTTGGAGGGCTTTTTGTTCCTCCGATAGACATGACTGACTTTTAGCTGTCATAATGTATTAACCTAACAGATGAAATATGTTAAATATGTGGTTGCTCTTTATCCCTTTGTACAAGCATTAAAAAAACTGCTGTTTTATAAGAAGACTTTTTGTTGTACTATGTGCATGCATACTACCTATTTCTAAACTTTGCCATATTGAGGCCTTTATAAACTATTGATTTATGTAATACTAGTGCAATTTTGCTTGAACAATGTTATGCATATCATAAACTTTTTCAGGTTCTTGTTTAAGTACATTTTTTAAATTGAACAGTATTTTTCATTTTGGTTATAATATAGTCATTTTGCCTATGTTTCTACAATGAAGTGTTAAATACTTTATAAAAAATTGTTGACTGACTTATTTAAATGAAATTCTACATATTTAAGAGCTTGTGTTGGGTAGTTTTTAAAAATAAGAAAATTTCTTTATGTAGCTTAAATATTCTGAGAAACCGGTTTAGGAAACATGGCATTTTTATATCCTTAGAACATAATACTCTTCAGGGGAAAACTGATATCATTCTATCATTTTTCAATGCGCAGCAGAGAAGGCATTATCTGTCTTCATGAAGTAGAAACACTCCCCTTACTTCTTCCTTTTCCCTGCCTTCCTGTGCCTGTCAGAGACTCCACATTGCAATAGAAAGAAAGGTTCTATACATAGTAGCATGACAACCATACTGAACAAACCAAAGCTCTTCCTATCCCTTTCTATTCCCCAAAATTGTACTTTATGGAAAATCAGATTCCATTAGATGCTATTTCCACATTCTTTTGTAAGTAGAATGGTTATTTGCTATACCTACTTTTAGCATCAGACTAGAGATGGAAAATACAGGTGCGTCTGATTTACTTATCATCGAGTTATATTATTTGAAGGGGCCTTTTGATATCAGAGCTGTGTAAATGCAACTGAAATTATTATTTCAAAGAAACAGAACCCACAGATTGGGGTGATATTAATACAGTTAGTTTAATATTTAGCAAATAATATATGATGTGCAACTGACTGCCAGTTGGGACCCGACATTGATGACCTATTCTCACTAGGGCCCTAGTGAAAACAATAGTCAACAGAGCTCAGAATGTGTTTTTTAACCCTGGAGCCCTGTGGCTACTTTATATGATAAATATCTATTTTCAACTAAAGTTAATTTAATCTACTTCCATAGTTCTATTGTGTTCTACTCCAATTTTCTATTGCAAAAATTTTTATAAATGCTAGAAATTCAAGTTTATAATTCTCTTTCAAAGTCACAATTCTTTATAAATGCCATAAAAAAAATCTTTCTAAACTATTGCTTCAAGCTTTGGTGGGAGATATTTTATAAAAATTAATGTTTCCTGATAAAACTTGCTTCTCTACCCAAATGCCTTCTTATCTAGAGCAATGTGTTTCAACTTCTTGACATTCTGCCAAGTACTTTATTTTCCTTTATAGGGGCGGATATTTAGAACTATCATTTCCTTCTATCCATTTCAGTAATGCCAGTACCACCACCTAAAGTTGCAACAAACAAATGTCTATAAACATTGCCAAATGTCTTCTGCGGAACAAAATTGTCCCTGATCAGAACTACTGATTTAGAGCTATAATCTATCTCCCATTATTAAATTACTATCAGCTGGAACCAAAAAAAAAATGCCCCTGCTCAACAAAATCATGGTATTTCCAAGTTTTGATTTTAATTCCTTAGTGTCGATGATGAATGAGTTATACAAGTTTGGTATTAATGAAGTGCCTATGTAGTAAACAATCAAAAGCTATGACTAAGGGGAAAAGTTTCATTTGGAAACGTTTACAATTTTGCATAAATTAAGTCATTTATTTATGTAAATGTGTTTTATCTGTGTCCATTTCAGTATCAGTGATTGTGTTTTATTTTGTTTTGTATTTTGTCATTTGCTTATTTGGTTAGTTTTAGAATTGAAGAAAAGTCTGTGCTTTTCTTCTAGGAATGTTACTTTCTATTTTGATGATGATTGAGATATGAAGAAAGTTCAATCCTAAGTACATGTTATGGCTATTATAAATGTACTGCAATATACGAAATGCCTACAATTTCCAAATCGCAGAGAAAACTAGTATATGTGATGAAAGAAATTGAAAAAATATTGTTGATTTTCTTTATTCTCTCTCATTTCTATATCTTCAAATACATCCTTTGGATATAAAATCTTATTCCTCTGAGAATATTAATATTATGTACAGATTCAACTTCTTCATGTAGTTTGATTTAAAAGATTAAAATATAAGAGAATAAGAATTCTGTGAGCTAAGCAAAATATAACTAACTACTTTTTAACAGCAGTTTTATCTTATACTCCATGCGTTTTCATCACTTTAACAATGACTTTCTCAATACTAGATGATATAGCAAAATTTAATGTATACTAAGAGTTATTAATCATTACTTAAATATGAACATTTTGACTATAACTTGCAAGAAATGGAGAGACTCAAGCACTACTTTATGAAGATTTTAGTGTAATCTGGCACAAAAATTTCTACCATGTATTTTGAATGTGAGGAAAAAAAGAGCCAAAAAGTGGTTTATTTTTCAATTCTGCTACCACATCTACTGCCAGCTTAACATATCTCGAAAGATAACAAGTCTTGAAAAAGATAAAGACAATTAAAAAATATAGGGAAGCAGTTTTATTCAGAAAGACATTTTGTTTTTGATGTTATCGTATCCAAAGGCCCAACAATGTTTTCTTCATACAGTGCTATGCAAGTATCTAGTGTACAGAAAGAAAAATAGATGAAATGAAGTTTTTGGTTTGGCTTTTCTCTAGCAGATGTTATACTTATGTGGCTGCAATTTCTTCTGAAAAATAGTTTCTAGTGAATCTCATCTTTTTTCTTTTTGTTCTCAAAGTGATCAAAAATCAAAAGAAAAATTGGTACTAAAGATGGACTATTTGATAAATTCTATGCTTAGAACGTGTTCATTTTCTCTGATGGATAATCTGTCCCTTTAGAATGGGGTTTGTAAGATATTGTTGCACTTAAGCAATGCAATTCTGATACTTTAGTCATTTGTTCACTCCAAGATAATTTTTCAGCTGTGGTTTCTTCTGCAGTTTTAATACATAAATTATGCGCCTCCTGGTGCAATTTGATTTCTAGCTTGCTTATGCAGTAGTGGCCTGGAGAGTCAATGATATGAGTCTTCCAGCCTTTAATAGTGAAACCATACACATCTGACTTGGATCAGGAATCTAGTCATTTATAAGTGAGAAAATACTTGTTTCACACACAGAATAAACTGTGAAATATACTTAAGAATACATTTAGGAGTTTGAATAATAAAGTTTTCTGTGGAGATACTTTATATATATATATATATGGAATATAAGTTTAGATTGACAACATATCTCAACAGATAATATAAAAGTTAAGTAAGAAATAACTGGACAGTGAGATTTATACCTAGAATAACCTTTACCTTTAGTATTTATCTTTTTACAACTTATTGCTCTGTTTACTGCAGGATTTATTCCTTGATTTTTTACTTTGAGTATATTTTTATTTTATGAATAGATTTCGCTAAAAGTACTTATCAAAAGCCTATGTCAGCAGTGTGTGTGCTGAGCTTTCACATATATGCAAATGTTACAATCTACAATTGTCAGTTATGGCTGAGGAAATTTATTTAAACACACAACTACATACACACACACACTTAGACTCACATTCTCACACACTGGCTTTGATATGCCATTCACTGTGAAGATAACATTTCTTTCCTAGAATTTAATAATGTTTACATTCTCTGGCCTAGAAGTTCAGAAAACATTACTCTTATACACAATGGTAGCTAATACCTAATTTTGTATTCCTTATTATAAGATCATCATATTTTCCCTCATTTGCATCTCTTTTTTTATCCAAAGTGACATTACAGGAAGCCAATGTTACCGTTACATTATTTTATCACAACCTGTATTTTTACTGTAAAAATTATTGTCATTTTTGAAAACTTAGAAAATATACATAAAGAAGAAAGAAAAATTACCACTATATTAAAAACCTAGAGAGAAAATTACCACTTCAGAGTATTTTCTTTGTTTTAGGGTCATGTTTTACTTTTTCTATCCTGCTTTTAAAATATAATATTAAAATATTTGGTTTTATATCTTCCTTGTGCATTTATTTACTTATTTTTATTCAATTTCTTGTTTGTTTATACTACATAGATGCTATATTGCTTGGTTTTATTTTTCTCTTTTGATTTTAAATTTGTTTTTTCTGCTGGTAAGTACTTTCAACTTAAAAATATTCTAATAATATAATTCAGAATTTAAAAATAAGTATTCCCCCCCCAAATGAGAAATTTAACATTCTTAAATTCCCTAATTCAACTCACATCCATAGTCTTCGTTGATATAGTTTGTATTTTTATTTTTAAACTATTTCAAGACAAGTATTTTTGTATTCTTTATCTTCTTTTCCTTATTTGGGAATATTTTAACTTATCTCTACATTTAGTATTTCTCTTTTACAACTTACAGCTCTTTTTACTGCATGATTTCTCCATTCTTGATTTTTTTTGACTAAATTCTTATTTTGTGAGTAGATTTCATAATGAGTACTTATCAAAAGCCTTTACCTGCAGTATATTTGCTAAGCTTTCACATATATACAAATATTTCTCTAAGGCCTTCAAATAGAAATGTCAACTCAGTTGGATGCACATTTCTAAAGCTATAACCTTTTCCTCCAAAATTAGGTTGAAGTTGGCCCATTGCTTTCACACATTCAATGTTGTTAGGGGCCAGTGTATTTTTATTTCTTTGTATCATTTTTCCTCAGGCTTAAACCAAAACAACTAGTTACAATTAAAATATTTTGACAAAAATGCACACATCTTTTTTATTAATTTTGTCTGCCTACCAGAATATATTTTCAGCTGAGATCGATTTTCCTTAAGATTCTCATTACTTCTGTCCAAATTTTCCTTAAATATACAGAAACACCTACGATTCTTAGGTTAAGTCATTTTTTTTCCTTTATAACCTATATCATCTTAGTAGTTTTTTTCCTCACCACTCCCATTTACTCTTGAAGAAATTTTCAAGTTTCTGGCATGTATTACTGATTCGCTTTTTCCCCTGTATACTCAATTTCTTTCTTGTGTATGCATATGTGAACATGTGTGTGCACTCATGCAAGCACCTCAGGGATGAATTTTAATTCAGTGCACATAGAGTCCTTCCTTATCTTACTCAGCTTTAAAACGTTTTAAAAACTGTGTTTATTCTCCTGTGTGTATTTTCTTCTCAGAGTTTTCTGCTGAGGTGTCATACTATTTGTTTCCTTTTTTCTATTCATAATACCAACCAGTTTTCAAAAGTTATCTTTCGGCAACATTTCTGTAAG